CCTGCTTTTCTCATCCATTGTTCCTCTTATCATCTAATATTCAAGTATAAAATGAATATGAACAATTTTTTGAATGCACCTTTAATTATAAAATGAAAAATAACTTCACGCAAGATTTAATCAACTAGGACTGAAAAAGTGCTTTGATCTTAATTGGACACAGGCAATATACCATTCCCCTAACCTGTATTAAGATTGGCTTGTTTAGCCCCTCTTCAGGTTGGCAGGGAGCTTAACTGTGCTGAATTCTGTGCCCACCTTTCAAGATTACCTTGAAATAGTCTGAGTGATTTACTTAGGACTGAACTGGTACTTACTGTGCTGGAAGTTCAAGAACCTAGTTTGGGGACAAGGCTTTCTTGAAAGACTGAGGCAGTTACAGATGCATATCGTTAATGAGAGTTTGGTAAAGGCCTCCATTTAGCTCGTTGGAAAATCCCAGACTAAGCAGAGCCCATTCTCAACAATATCACTACTTTCTGCCCTTCCTAACCAGGTCCCCATAATGAGCCATGAAGGGACTAATGAAGGTGTCACTTGCTACATCTCCAAGCAGCTGCCCCCAGAACTTCTTTGTTGGTCTCCTGCTGTGTTTCCTACCAGTGCAAGCTGAGTGCCAATTTAATGACTGCACATTTTGTATCTAAAGAAAATATGACTTTGAAAGGGCTTTGTTTCATAGGGGCATTCTGAACCCATTTCAAGAGATTTGCAGCTGGCAATAGCAGAGGCACTCTGCTGTCTATGGTCATAAAGCTACTGGGTTTCTCTCAGAGTCCTAACAGCACAGCTCTATTCATTACTCACACAATTGTCCCCCTCCTAGTCCTCTCTCTCTCAGGCAACCAAAGCTGTACCTATAACTATTAATCAGAAGAAAACCTGAAAGGGGAGCTGGGGGTATAAATTCCCTCTGGTTTATCCATTAGGGACCTCTTCTCCTGAGAACAGGAGATGGTTCACTCAGCCATGAAGTCTTGGTTTACACCTCACCATCACACACGGACAGGGCAAGGCTCCTGGGACCAAGTGCTCATTAGTGTGTCTGTATTTCTTTCACAACCTGCACATCCTGAATGGGCTAGTGTTCCCAATATGAATCAATGGTTTAAACTGAGGTGATGTCAATGGCCTTTCACCTCTCCTGCAGATGGACAGCTCCAAGGAAGGGCAGGCACATTGGTCTAGAAACTAGCACATGGGGTCCCGTTCCATTCCCAGTCACAGCTAGAAAGTCTGTGTTCTCAATGCACACATTGCTTGCATTGCATGCCCTGTAGCACAAAGAACTGAGATTTTAGTGAGATACTAACCCATATTTATACAAAATACGACTTATAAAGGCAACTTCAGGATGACTCATTGAATGGCCTACAACCTCAGCCAATGTGAGGAAACAAAAATTCCTCTCTCCCTTATCAGGGATCAGAAGGACATTCCTAGAGCAAAAGGTTGTTCCATGGCTGGCTTCCACAGTCAAAATTATACCTTTTATTGGTGACTTTCACAGGAAAGCACTGTTGAACTGATATAATGGTCCATTCAGAAGCAACTGGTTCCTTCCTCTCATCCTATCAGACAGGGACTATGTTGTAGAGACAGGAAATGGGTTTGCAAAGAGAATGAAGGTTTGGCTACAGATATGTGAGAGAGGGCTTTTCAAACCTCCTGTCTGAACTGAGATTTCCTGTGTCACCATCCTAATTAAACCAGATGGGGGTGAATAGGTGAATGGGAGGAGAATACAGAGTGGAGGAAGAAGCACAAGTTTTGACATGCAAAATCGTTTGCCTGCTTTGCAGGATATAAGACCCATGGGTATGAAAGGACTGGTACAGCACAGGGAGTTTTTTACACTAACCCACTGCCCTAAAGCAAAGGGAGATCAGCCACCATGGGTTTGCTTCATTATCTCTGCATTATCTCATGCTGCCTCTTGCCAGGTGACCACCATTACATTGTCTCTGGTTAGACTGGGGAGTGGTTTAGGTCTCAAGAGAATTGATGACTTCCTTGGCTCTGGCATTGTCCTCTGTAGTGTCTGCTGCATGTGGAGTGGAGACCTTGCTCAGTGGAGACTGTCGATTCCTGTGATGTGCTCAACTTTTCTTTTCACCAGGTACTCTGGGAGCGGTCACTTTAACCCAGCCAGGTTCTGCCTCTGCTCGGCCAGGGGAATCCATTACCCTCACCTGTGACACTTCTGGGTTCAGTGTCGATTACTACCACATAAATTGGATTCAAGAAGCCCCTGGGAAAGGCCTGGTGTGGATGGCAGGCTTCAGGATGGGGTATGACACCTACATTGCAAATGATTTCAAAGGGCGCGTCACTCCATCCACCAACGACTCCACAGCCAAGCTGCAGATTGCAAGGCTCACATTGGCAGACACAGCTACTTACTATTGTGCAAGAGAAACACAGTGTCTCCTGCCTCACTTCCTCTAATACAAAAAGCCTGAGAGCCAGGTCTCTCAGTTCCTCTTCCCTTTTTCACATTGCCTGAAATTCAGACTTGTGCAGGGACACAGATCCAAGGCCCCTGCACTGATGCTGGCCAATGTCTTTCCCTGACAACAGAGCTTCAGGTGCCTTGTGTTTACCACTCCTTCACATAACAGCTCCCCTCTAGGGTCCAAAGATACATGCTGACCACTCAGGTGGGTGCTCAGATAATCTTGGGGTTACATCTTATTTCATTTTACAAACTGAAAAGTGCATATGCATCCATGACTGCACATGACTGCAGCTTTTGTTACTTCCACACAGTTTGGGACCCTCTTTCCTCCTGCCCACATACCTAAAAGTAGGGAAGCGGGGACCCTTACCTTTTAACTGAAGAGTCTTGTGTTTCAGATTCTTTACCAAGGGGTCAGGGACCCCATTTTCACTTCTCCTACCTACAACGGGTTTGATCCTATACATCTAGCTTCCCAGCACAATGCTCCTGCCACCGGGCTACAAGCCAGGCACTGTCCAGTGTCCACTCCATCACTCCACCTGAAGTGCAGCAGCTGCACCTGTCCTTTAAAAAGGTCTTGGATAAAATGGCTAAACAGCACTGTAGAAGTTTCTGTCCCATGTTGAGATGGGCACAGCATTGAGCCAAGGGGATGGATGATAGGGCTTTTGGTACTGCCTAACTTGTCACTGGAATAGAGTTCAGGGAAGTCTATAGATACCTACAGAATAGAAAGGAGCCTGGGGAGGTTTACAAGAATACCTAGATCCCTTCATTCCCCTGCAAGGAACATGAGCTGGGTTAAAAGTCGCTTCCGAAATGTCTCATGGCCAACGAGCTAAACCATGAGTTGCTTTAAAAACTGGACAAAAAATGGGTAGGTTTATTGTCCAATGTCTCTGCTGTTTTGAGAAAGCAAGTCTGTCTTCTAAGCTGTGATCAGTTAGAAGTTATTCCTTTAGTGGTAGGTGGTCCATAACTCAGTTTACAATGTCTAGAGTAGCAGTATGTGATGAATCCAGTAGGAAACTGGGGCATTTTGATCTGATGCAGTGATTTGTTTCTGTTCCTATCACCCAAGCAGGCAACTTATTGGATAACATAAGCTGGTATTTCAAAAGATCCTGAATGATTTCCAGTGAAAATGCCATTGCATTTTAGTAGAGGACTCTGAGACACTTTTCTGAACTCCTGTCTGAACACAGATCACCTGCATCCCAGTCCTGTGCTTGTAACAGCCCCCTGTTAATAAATCAAGCAATGCATGCCTTGTAACACAGGGAAGGAAGAATGAAGAGTGAATGGATATTTCTGAAATGCAGCATGACTTGTCTGGCTGAGAAGATTTAAGAGTCTCAGGTCAAAACCAGCTGGTAGCTACAACGGGAAAATTTCAACCAATCCTTCTCAGGAAGGTGAAGGAGCACAACCATAGATGTCGTTTGATTTGTCCCTGTACTAAACTGTATGAATTAATGCTGGAATCATATTTGGAGGGAAGCAGAAGGTTTATTTTCCTAAATAGTTCAAGGAAGTTAGGCACAGACAGAAATGTAAAGAACATCACTTTTAATCTTATTTTAAAATCTCTTAATCTAATACCTCTAACATACATGTCAGAACCTTTTTGAAACATTCCCAACTCCCTGTCTGAGCATCTCTTTAAATACAATCTGGACTTTCTCATTCCTCAGCGTGTATATGAAAGGGTTGAGCAAAGGAGTGATGACAGTGTGAAGGAAGGACACTGATTTGTAAAACTCTGAGGAGTGCAGTTTTTTTGGCAGGACATACATGAAAATAGAGCAGCTGTAGAAGATGGAAGCAACGGTGATGTGGGCTACACAGGTGGAGAATGCCTTCTGGCGTCCTATAGCAGACGGGATACGCAGGATAGTGTGGATGATATACATGTAGGACATTGTTGTTAGGAACAGTGAGCTAAGCACTACAAAGGCTGAGATTGAGGAGATGACCCTTTCAATAAGACTGGTATCCACACAAGCCAACTTCAACAGAGGCTTTATGTCACAGAAGAAATGGTTGATAACATTGGGGCCACAGAATGGTAACTGGGACACAAGTATGGTGGGGCACAAAACTGATACAAATGCTCCCATCCAAGTGCAAATAACCAACTGCAGTGTCAGCTGTCCACTCATGATGATGGGGTAATGCAACGGCTTGCAAATAGCAACGTACCTATCAAAGGACATCACAGCCACTAGGATGTACTCAGATGTGCCCAGGAAGAAATAGAAATAAGTCTGAGTGATGCAGCCAGAGAAAGAAATCATGTGGTTGTTTGACATGAGACTCTGCATGGTTTTTGGGAGGATGACGGTGGTGAACCAAAAGCCTGAGAAAGACAAGTTGCAGAGGAACCAGTACATGGGGGAATGTAGGCGATAATCCCTCCACACCAAGGCTATGATCAGTGTGTTGCCCATGAGTATCAGTCCATAGATTGCCAGAAGAATGAGGAAGACAAGGCTTTTAAACTGACTGATGTTTGGGAATCCAACAATAGTGAACTCCTTCACTGTGGTTTGGTTCTCCTTCTCCATGGCTCCATCTTGAGCTATTCTGTACAAGGAAGAGAAAAACGATGCTATAAACACAACATTTTTAAATATCTTATTAAAGTAAAGGACCCTGGTTTAATTTTTTTTTCAAAAGTGCATAAGTGGACTTATGTCTGATGTTGACTGAATTTCAGTTGGATATGTCTAGAAATCACTTAGGCTAATTTCAACCTGCAGCTGCTTGAACTAATCAAAGGGAAGGATGAACAGCACCTTGAATATTGTTGACCAGTGCCCAAGTGGGAAGAACGTCTCTGACAAGTGTTTACATGCAATCAATTAAAGCCACAAGAGCATTCATGTTATGGAAAATGAAGAAAAATCCCCACTAAAACTATGATATGGTTATTTGACAAGTATGAAAATTAAAGCCTGGAAGGAAGGGATCCTAATGGAGATAGTGGACTCCCCATAACTTGAAGTTTTTAACATCAAGATGGGGTAGGTGATCCGTTACTGAGTGATCTCTGCTTTCCCTTCTGACTCCTGCATTCAAAACAGCCTACTCATTACAGTGAGCCTCAAACAGATTCATAGACACAGCTACAGGTTTCCTAGCACTTCATTGAAATCACCTAGCTCATTGGGAGACAGAGGCATCATGAAACAAGCAGATGCCGAAATTACTATTCTTAAAATGGCTTAAAGGGTTAATATGTTCAGCATTTCTGATTTCTGCTTTCACTGGAGCTGGCTTCAATGTTTTCATCTACCCTTTCCATTTCCCTTCAGCCCAATGAGGTAATGTCTTTACAGTGATCTGGGGAATTTGGTAATTAAATAAAACGTTTGTTCATTCGTTCTTTCATTCTTTCCTTCCATTATTTTTGGTCATCACTAAAAACCCATGAAATTGGATAGAAATGTGTTTTTGATTTCACTCTTGTACTCTATCAAACACCTTCAAGAGCAAACTGGATGCTTATCTTGCTGGGATCCTATGACCCCAGCTGACTTCCTGCCCTTTGGGCAGGGGGCTGGACTCGATGATCTTCCGAGGTCCCTTCCAGCCCTGATGTCTATGAAGTCTATGAAAACTCAAAACATGTTGTAAGAAAAAAAAATCAGAATTACTTCCTTTACTTGTTTATTATTTTCCCTAATCTATTTTTCAAGAATCATTTTGATGCAAGTGAAACATAATATTTCTCCTGCATCTTTAATTAGTTATCATCTTAATTGTCACTTCAGCCATGGTTCCATACAGTAATCATGAGAAGTGATTATCAGACAGAGTCAGAATACTATTTGCATGCAATACCAGGTTGTTTAGCCCTTGTTCATGATGGTAGGGAGTTTAACCACACGACCCTCTTCACTTTCACTTTCAAGTTAACCCACAAACAGTCTGAACGTTTTTCCTTGGACGGAGGCAGTACTTACTGTGACTGAGGTTCAAAATTTTAGCATTAGGGCTGGGCTTCCTTGATGTCTAAGACAGATATAGGTGCTAACACTCAATGGGAGCTTGGTGCATGTTTCTATTCGGCTTCTTTGAAAGCCTGCCATGGCAGGGGGTCGGACTAGATGATCTCCTCAGGTCCCTTCCGACCCTACCGACTATGAAACTATGAAACTAAGACATTATGAAACAACCTCCTGCCTGCCCTAACCATGGGGATGGTTCGTTCTCTTAATACCTGCCTCTGGCAGCTCTTTGTCGATCTCCCATTCTGTGACTTCCACCACTTAAGTCGAGTCCAATGTAACAGCTGCAGAGTCTGGGCTCTAAATGACATAGGATTACTAAAGGACTTTGTTCCAGAAGAGGTATACTAGACCCAGGTCAAGAGGTTTCAGCTAGCAATATTGGATGCATTCTGCCTTCTGTGGACAGAGTGATGCTGCATTTCCTCTCCGAGTCCTACCAGTACAGTTCTATACATAATTCATTTCTGCCTTCTGTGGGCAGAGTGATGCTGCATTTCCTCTCCAAGTCCTACCAGTACAGTTCTATACATAATTCAAACAAGCATGCCCTTTCTAGGATACTCTCACTTGGAAAACCTGAACTCTGCCCTTAACTGTTCATTAGGAGCAAGTATAAAAGGGGAACTGAGGGTATCCTCATCACAATAGTTTATCCATTAGAGATCTCAGTTCCTGAGAATGGCACAGCCACTTTTATGATGGCTTGGCCATTAATTCCTGGTTTACAGCTCACCGTCATACGCTGATAGTGCAAAGCTCCTGGGACTGAGGGTTCATTAGTGTGTCTGCATTTCTTCCACAGCCTGCACATCATGAACAAGCTAGTGATTCTAGTCCACATCACTTACCTGGCCGGGCAGATACCGTGGTGATGGTTTTGGCCTATGTTGTTCTACTGACCAAGCAGGGGAGATACCCTTCTTCCTGGCCTTGAATGATTTGGTGTAGTTGAAGGTAGAGACCTGCCCATTGCACTGTGGGCAGGCACCCCTGCACAAGTCTGTTAAGGCCTCCCAATGGGAGGATCTTGGCCACATAATTTATAGTAACAAGGGATAGCTCTTGGGCTTTCCCTCTAGCTTGCTCCTATGGCCTTTTGGCTGGGGGCAAGCAACACTAGATGGCATCTGAACCCCAAGGCCTTCGGGCTTGGCACTTGCATGTAGGATACCAGCCATGGATGTGGCAGTATCTGAAGCCCAGAGAAGACTCTGGGAGGGAGAATACTTGTCAGTAGTAGCACCACACAGACCTGAATGATTGAGCTCTGCTCAATATGTAGAATTCAGAACTGATTTGGTTGATTTTGCCCAAGACACAACATAAAAAAAAAAAAATTTGAATCCACATCAGAAGTGTAAACAGACATGACCTCAATGGCCTTGCCCCTCACCCACTAAGGAGCTGATCAGAGGAGTGTTAGGTAAATTGTGAAGGAAATGAGCAATGCCAGTTTGAGTATTAAAGGCCATTTACCTTCTGCCCTATTCTCCTATGATGTAGTGCAGAATTGCAGGCCACTCTTTTAGATGGCTGAGACACGGTGCAAGTAGGCTGGGACTCTAGAGGTTGAGTCTAACTTCACTCAGCCCTAAGCTCCCTCTAGGACCCATGGGAAGGTCAGTCAGTAGCTTTTAAGTCTCTGTTTCCCATTTGGGCACTAGAAATGATGATAATTTATTATTTCACAGTGATAACCTGAAGATAAATTCTCTAGCACTTCTCTGAGGCTTCACCCTACAGAACCACCTTCAACTTGTCTGACAAAGTCAATTCCATCTCTAGGATTCGCCTTTCCCAGTTACTCAGAGTGACATTGTATTTCCCTTCATGCATGGATGACAAAAAATGACTACACAGCCACAGAAACTAGCCGTGTGCTCCCTGGAATAGAGTGAGGAGGTGGGACAGGTCTTCCCATCTTTTCTTTTCACACCAAACGCGGTGTGATCAGAGCACTCAGTCACCCAGGCCTCCCTCACACAGTGGGTTTTTTTCTTGATTTCCAAAATGCTAATCCAACCACTACCGCGCAGCTCAGCAATTCCCTAGTCCCCTCTTTGGATCACCATTTGAAACTGGTCTTCTGGGAGGCAGAAGATATTTAGGGCCAGTTGTTCGCATGGACAAGAACTAAATATTTCAGGGCATATAAGTGCCAAACATGCCATTCAGGTGACCTAAACTGAAATTAGGTAATAAGGAAAGGATAGATCAGGGGCTCCTAACCTTTTTTTGCTGTGACCCTAAATCCAGGTCAAGACCCCACCACCGAGTCACTCATGCCCAGTGGTGCCAGTGGAGCCCAGGCCAGGCCGAGATCATGGGGGGCAGCAGCAGCGAAAGCCATGCAGACTGTGCACCGAAAGAGCCCCACAGGCAGGAGGGGGGGAGCGAGGGGGGAACCCCCTGCAACCCTGATTTGGGTTGTGCTCTGAAGTTGGGAGCCCCTGGGACAGACTTTTACCTATAGTGTAAGCAAGGTCATATCATCCATTCAAAATCTCTATTAGCTAATATATCACGAGCCAAACTCTTCCCTGATTTATCTTTTCTGGTGGCAAGGGAGATGGGATTGAAAGGTAAGAATGTCACCCCTAGTAAGGGGAACAGGACTCCAACTTCTTGAAAAGTTTTTTTCCAGCTGAATCCATTTTTGTCATAAACTGCAGCTCAGTGGATTCAGATTGGGAATACGTCCAGTTATGTACATTTCTCTGATTAATTATCACAATATTGTGCGTAGGCTTTTACCCCTGGTTGCATTATATCACATTACATTATGCTGTGTTATGCTGAAGTCAGAAGATGATCATCAGAGTGAAATGTTTCAGGTTTTTGGAGATGTAAGTTGTGGCCATGATCACAACCAACTGGTATATGCATATTTTGGTGCAAAATACTGAGATTTGGGCCAGAATTCTATTCTAGTGTATAGACAGGTGGAACAGCTATAACAGGGGTTGTGTGACCCCCACCTGAAAGCTTTTCTCTGTCACATCAATACTGGATTTTCTGTTTGTTCTTCTCTATGGCTCCTTTCTCTCAAATCGGGGCCCCCCATTAACCCATTTGTGGCAAGGTACTCCTTCCACCCTTCACCTCATATTTGACATCTCCCACTAATGTCGTCCTCTCATCCAAAGGTGGCTATACACACTCCACTCTACCCTAAAACAGAGACTCCAGGCATAAGCCAATTGAACTTTGTATACTTTGCACTTCACGTGCACATATTTAAAGACTATCATCTTTTATGCTGGCAACTGGTTGCAAAAGGATGCTAAGGCATTAACAAGCTAGACCTGCATCTAGCTAGTCCGGTATTTTGTCTCTATTGCAGTCTAGTCCAGGTGTTTTGGGGGGAAGTATAAAAGCACCTGCCCATATCACTTTTGGAATTTGTCCCACTGATTAAATGAAGGAGGAGGGTCTTCTCTGGTCCAGGCTAGTCTATCTAAGTAGACTCATCATCTACTCTGCCTTTTGCACAGATGTAACTCTTGATTTCTAAGGAGTTGCCCCAACATGTAGCCAGGGTAAGGTGCTGGTGTCCCACCTGGGAAATACAGCCAATTAAGAACTGAAATTCCTTAGTGATGTTTGGCACCTCTGTCTGAGTTCATGCAAACTCCACCTGGTGCCAGAAATATTTAACAAGAAACAATATAAACATGCACGCATCAGTCCGAAGTGCTAAAGAGCAGTGAATGCTCTATTTCTCAATGATTCTGTGATTTTTCTACTAAATCTCTGGATTTCCCTCCTCTCATAAAACATAGTCCCTTAAATGAATATTATCTCTGAGGATGTTCCATACAGCATGAAGGTTATCCAGAGGAACAGCTTTTCCTTAACCTGATTGCTGGGTTATTAAATCTCACCAAGCCAGCTACTTCCCTAGTAAACTGAGCTTATTCTCTGTATAATAATAATATTAAAAATCCTTCAACGTTTGGGAATAATCTCTTGGGGAAGCACTATTAGGTTTGTTCTTTGTCTAGTACAATGAGAGGGAGAGCAGTTCACTGCTCTGGAAAAGGTGTTAAACCAGGAGTGTCATTACTCACTTTCTGACAGTATATTAATGTTAATACTAATATTGTTGATGCATTTTATTTTATGGTGCTCGACTGCAGCCACAATCTAGCTGTTCTGCAACACAGTCCTGGGAATGCAGGCTGAAAACTTCTGTTTATGTAAGTATGATATTTATGTATTAATATTATTGGATGGCATCACATTTGCAACAGATCTAGGGGTGTTTTAATAATTTATATTAAATTATAAGTTCTCCAGAGGTCAGTGTAGGCAGACTAGTCAGGAAATAGCTGTGTCAGCAGAAGATCTGGAATATGATTTGCAGTGCACAATAAAATTAAGGTAGAGAGAGAGAGAGAGACATGGGGCATGGTTATATTTTCTCTTGAGTTTCTTGTGTTCAAAGCAGGAAAATACTAAAAAACCCTTTAAAGACATAGCCTATATTTTTCAAGTATATATACATGACTCAAGCACTGAAGCTCCCTTGGAACTTTTGACCCATTAAATGCTTTTGAAACGCATTACTGCTACTTGTTTTCCAAGCATAAATAGATAATGTTTTTCATTATGTGCCAATATACCAAGTAGTATAAATTAGGAAAGGGTAAAGTGAGAGGCAGGATAACTTAAAAAAAAAATGTAACACTTGCTTCCATAGAGAACTGATGTTTTGCAGGGTGTTATAAATGATAAATTTGCTTGTTGGGGGACAGAATTAAACTGGTAATAATGGTGAATTCTGATCATCACCAACGGAAATTAAAGCACCTTTCAGGGGGAGGCAAAGATCACTGTTTTTGTACAGTTGGAGAAAAAAAGGCAGAGAAAGATTAAGACCAGGTTTTCAAATACATTTCAGGGAATAAGGATACCAATGCCAGGGAATTTCAATAAAGGCTGGAACCTAATGTCTTCAGGTTTCTTAGAAAACCCAGAAGAGTTGGGCTCATGGTCATTAGCAATGCTGGAAAGGGAATGCGAGTGTCCTGATTCCCAGTATATGTCCCTAGCACCTGGATCATTGCACCACTTATCTGGCTGTCTACAGAGCAGTGATAATATCTGATATAGTGAAGATTCTGTATAAGTGGTTGAAAAACCTAAGAAAGGGAATGAAAAAAAGGGGGGTTGAAAGGGAGGCCTTTGAGAGGCTGCCCTAAAAATGCGATGAGAGATTGTTCTCCTTTGTCATAGAGGACAGAGGACAAGGCACCGGGCTTAACCTTCAGGAAAGCAGTTTAGAGTCATACTCAAGGGGGAAAATTAAAATAAAATAAAAACAGAACAAGCAAACTACCAAACTGTAAGAGCAGGAGGAAAATAGAAGAAGCTTCCCAGGGAAGTTTTGTAATCTCCTTCACTGGAGGTTTTCTGTCTGACACAGTCTAGCAACTGTGAATATGATATGCACATATTTAATCCATGGGGCTGGATTAGATGGCACTTCATACCTCAACCCTATTACTCCGTGATTCTGATAATGGCACATATCTAATCCATGGGGCTGGATTAGATAATATGCTAATCTAGGTAACAGGCACATATAATATCTAGGTTAGATAATATGCTAATCTAGATAATATGCACATATCTAATCCACGGGGCTGGATTCGATAGCACTCCATACCTCAACCCTATTACTCAGTGATTCTGATAATGGATGAGGGTGCATGTCTTCTTTTAGTCCAGCTCACCCAAATTATCAGGCTTGGAAGAAAAGTAAATCAAGTGAGCACTTTCCTTGCCAGAATCTCCCCTCATTTGTACATGCATGAAACTCAGAGGAGTTGCTAGTAATATGCAAGGATAAATGAGCAGAACATCCTTTTGGTTTAATCTAGTGGACTCACTCCTCCTTTCACCCTGATTGAGAAGAGGATCAAACTTTTTTGAAGCTACTCCTGATTTCCATGGGTGTGATGAGCTGCAACCCAAGTTTTGTGGAGCTATACCAGGTTGGACTAGCTGGACTGGACCCTGTGACTTCAGGGGAGTTATATCACAAAGCATACAGGAGAATTGTCCCTTTCACTGCTGCAGAGTTAATCTTAATTTAGTTCACAATTATGGGAGATCACTTTACCTATTCAGCACTTAAGTGTAATTCAATTTCACCTTGTTCAAGTCTCTGAAAAACCAGGTAGTGCAAGGTCTGCATGTGTCCTCATTATTGCTTTTGCAACTTCATCTTCAGGCTAAGGTGATGGCAAGTTAAAAAAGCAGGTGAGGTAATGTCTTTTTTCAGGACTTAGGCAGGATGGAATAGGGACACAGTTAGGGACCTATATCCACCTACATGAAAGAGAGTCTTTTTGCATGGTGTCTCTCTTGTGTTCATTCAGGCATGTTGCAAAGGAAGCCATGAGATCTGAAAACCAAACCATGGTGAAGGAATTCATCCTACTGGGATTCTCTGGCATCTGTGAGATTAAAGTCCTCGTCTTCCTCACTCTGTTCCTGACCTACATGCTGACATTAATGGGGAACATCTTAATCATTGCTCTGGTGTGGAATGATTATCGCCTGCACATGCCAATGTACTGGTTCCTCTGTAACTTGTCCTTCTCAGGCATATGGTTCACCACTGTCATCATCCCAAAGATGATGCTAAATATCCTGTTGGGCACCAGAACTATTTCTTTCTTTGGATGTTTGATGCAGACCTACTTCTATTTCTTCCTGGGGACCTCCGATTATATCCTGGTGGCAGTGATGTCCTTTGATCGGTATGTGGCCATCTGCAACCCTCTGCGGTATTCTGTCATCATGGACGGTTGGTTTACCTTCCAGCTAGCCCTAGGGACATGGATCGGGGCATTCCTTTCTGTCCTCTACCCAGCAATTGTGTTCTTCCAGTTACCTTTCTGTGGCCCCAATGTCATTAACCATTTCTTCTGTGATATCATTCCAGTCTTGAAGCTGGCCTGTACTGATACAATCCTCCTGGAAATGCTGAGCTTTGTATCTTCTTCTATTGTTGTTCTGGGCTCTCTGCTCTTAACAACAGTGTCTTATGTCTATATCATCACCACCATTCTGCACATCCCATCAGCCACAGGCCGCCAGAAGGCATTTTCTACCTGTGTAGCCCACATCACAGTGGCTTCCATCTTCTATGGCTGCTCAATATTCATGTACATACTACCAGAAAAGAGTCATGCATCGTGGTTCTACAAGGTGGTGGCTTTTCTGCACACCGTGGTGACACCTTTGCTGAACCCATTCATATATACTCTGAGGAATAAGAAAGTCAGAGATGTCTTGAAAGATACTCTGAAGCAGGCAGAGAACAGTTTTCCAAGGGATAGAGTACAAGGAGAGAGAGAGAGTAAAAAGGTAAACCATTAAGAACAACAAAAGAAAGACTTTTGGGACCAATCCAGCCCATTCTAGAAGGACTTCTAACCATGAGAGCACTGGGTATCTGGATCAGGCTTCCAATAAAGGTGGTGGGGGCAAGAAACCTAGTTGTAAGGAAGAACACAGTGTGTTTATTTTCAAGGCATTGTGTGATATGCCAGCCAGTGATAGTAGGAGGCTGGATATGATGAGCTGGGAAACCCCTTCTTGGCCCATGGTACTATCCATCAGATGTGGAGCATCAAGAAGCTCTCATTTTTCACATATCTTACATCCATAGTCAGCCCTGGTTCCTGGAAGGCAGGAAGGCTGACTTTTGTAGGTGTGTGCAATGTGCACGGAGAACAGTGTTGAAGCTATGTAAACAGTAGGCATGGCTGAAGATGGACACCTACAGGAGGACAGCCCAGTGTTTATGGCAGGAGTGCAGTACACTGGAGACTTAGATTCGGCTGTCTGCACTGGAGAGCTCCATGACAGATTGATTCATTTATTTGGGGCTAAATTTGAAAGGCACTGAGATGTCTGAACATTCACAAAGGTGCCAAGTGGTCTCATCTAATCCCAGACCTTAAACTGCCTTCCCTTTAAAGGACTACTACCAATCTCAGGAGGGGTCTGTATGTATTAAAAGTTCCTAAACTGCTCTTTGAAAAGGAGACTATTAATTTTTCTGTGCCTTAGGCCCCCATCTGTAATACAGAAGCCCTCTCCTACCTTCCATAGCTGACACAGGGAGAAGGGCATTAAGGTTTTCAGGGCAGCTGAATGTTGGGCAAACAGGGAACTGATAAATACTTGCAGCAAACAGGCTTTCAAAACATGTGATGACCTGGACCTGGGATACCAAAGCTGCAAGATGGGAGCTGGGGGTTGACAACTCCACACCTCTGGGAATGGGGGCCCTTCTTCCTTAACAGTGCAATTTGTCTATGCGGGCGATGGAGGTTCTTTGGGCACTGGTCCGAGGCAGCAGGGTGCAGTGCCAAAGGAGTATGGGCAGTCACAAACCTCAGCATCTACCTCTCCTTAAGCCAGTTGCTCTTTCTTTTGCATTTTGCTGGAAGCCACATAGAGCTAGGAAGGGTTTTTTACCCCTCTTGTTGTTATAGGTGTTGGCAGTTTTTGTTTTTTTTTTCTTCTTTAGCCTTTCTCAGAAGCTCTTGATATTGGCTGCAGCAAAACATGGGGACTGTGACTGGGCTGTGTCACTATTCCTGTTGGGACTAAAACATAGAGGTTCCTGCTTAGAGGGTCTTGCCCCTCTCTTCAGGGTTAGCCCAATAGCTGCATTTGGGATCAGGAAGGAATTTTACCCAAGCCCTGTGACCAGGGCCAGAGCCATGGGATGCCAAGATGCAGGGCTTGGGATGGCATGCGAAAAAAAAAAGCCACGCCACGCCATGCCTCAAAAGAGAGACTGATAAAAGATGGAAGGCTGAAAGTACCACCAAGGAGAAGTACTCAGCACTGGTCCATACCGGCAGGGAGCGGATCAGAAAAGCCAAGGCTGCAACTGAGCTCCATCTGGCTTCACATATCAAGGATAACAAAAAGTCCTTTTTCAGAAATGTATGGAGTTGGAAAAAAAATCAAGGGTAACATTGGACCCCTGCTAAACCAGATGGGACAACTGACAACCGATGCCCAGGAAAAAACAAACTTGCTAAATGGGTACTTTGCATCAGTTTCTCACCAGTCCCATGGAATGTCCCTGCCCACTGCAGGACAGGGAGGCCTGGGTGAGGGAGATTCCTTACCATCCATCAAAGCTGACCTTGTGAAGGAACACCTTGACAGGCTGGATACCTTCAAGTCAGCCAGCCCTGACAGTTTAAACCCAAGGGTACGCTGTCAGATGTCATAGCCCAACCATTGGCAAAAATATTAAAAAATTAGTGGCGCCCAGGTGAAGTGCCTGAAGACTGGTAGAAGGCCAATGTGGTACCCATCTTCAAGAAAGGATGGAAAATAGATCCAGGGAATTACAGGCCAATCAGCTTGACCTCAATCCCTGGTATGATTCTCGAGAAAAGTGCACAGGTACATGGGGAGTCCGATGTCCGGCGGGTCGCAGTGTGTCCAATTCTTTATTGAGTCCATGAGTTTATGTACCAAGGCAAGGAGGCTGAAGAAGTGAAGTTCATAGGGCCGGCTGTGAAACCTTTTGCCTGTCAGCAGCCGGAGGTGCAGGGCCCAAGAAGCCAGAACCCGCTACACCTATCTCCTTGTCACTTGGCAGGCTTCATGGCCTCAGCAGGGGCCACCATCCCTGCAGTTTTCACCTTGCTATAGCTTAACACACACACAGTGTCACCCATGTCATGAGTTTTGCTTGTCGGCACCTTGAGATGCAGTTTCCCAGAAACCCATGCACCTATCTCCTTGAAACTTGGTAGGCTTCATGCCCTCGGCAGAAGCCACCATCTATGCAGTTTTCACCTCACTGTGACTTAACACATACACTTGACATGCATTTTGCTTTCAAGACTTTGAGGTGCAGTTTCCCAGAAACCCCTGCATCTATCTCCTTGAACCTTGGAAAGCTTCATTTTCTCAGAAGGGTCTATCGTCCCTTCAAGTTTCATCTGAATTAGGAAAAAAAAAGACAAAGTTATAGATATTTCATTGATTCCCCATTATACTCTTTGGCCACAGCTCTGAATCTCTCCAAATCAGTGCCAAATCTTCCAAAGCTGATTTGGCCAAATAGGTTTGGAACAGCAATCCAAATCTCCAAATTGAATTACTGGCCTCCAAATCAGCTGAATCTGAATCAAATAGTTCCCTATTCACACAGGTCTAGTGCTCAGGACCTGAAGGCTATAAGTTCAAGGCTGGGTATAGTTGCTTCAGCTTTATGTGCAGGTTTTGTGAGCTGAAGATTTTTTTCCCCCTGATACTGCTGAGCATTGATGGGCTCAAGAGCCACTTGACCAGTGCCAGGGGTGTGGGATGCAAAGATGCAGCCTCCATAACTGGGACTAGTATAGCTGGATCACTTGGACCAATATGACCTGGTCAGTTAGCCAAAAATGAGTTGAGTAAGGGTGAGGAACTGCAACCAGTATAGCCTGGGACTTGAGACCAGTATGGCTGGATTACTTATACTAATATGCTGGGGTAACAGGGACAGTAAGCCTGTATACATATAAAGTTTATCCTTTAAAGCCCCAGATGACCTTGATTTAAGCCTCTAGTTTTGAGAACTCTAAAATATGGAGTTTTGAGGCAGGTTTTTCTGTTCAACATTTTGCTCACTGCCCCTTTGAATGCCTTGCTTCTGATGGCATAGCTGAAAGAGCAGAAACCTGGAATCAGGATGGTGGTGAAAATGGGCACCAACATGTTAGCTCTAAAACTGGAATGGCTTGAAGAATGCAAGTACATAAATAGTGCAACCACCAGTGATGAGCGGCACACACACAGAAGTATTATTTTATTTTTGTTTCCCTTAAGAAGACAACATCAGTGCAACATTTTTATATTCTTTCATATTTATGTATTTTAGATCATAACTATCATCTGCTGTAGTCCTCTATTTATTTAATAATTTCCCCTGGCAAAAAAAAATTGTATTTTCACTCCTGCAACCTCTGATCCTAATAAATCTGGCTCATTATTAGTCTTACGCAGTACCACTTCACCAAGTTTCCTGGGGAATTTGCTGGTGTACACCAGTCAAGGGCCCGGCCTCATCTGTGCCACTAATCAGTGTATCTGCCAATAGACAGTGTGTCAGATTTGTGAAATCTTAATTATCTTCCACATGTGCATGTTTCACAGACACAAACCAATGGAAAAAATGTTGCAGCCAGAGGCTTTGAAGAACACCTTGGGCAGAATCCCATTTCACATGACATGCCTAAACATCAGGTCGCACCTAGTTTTCAGCAGGGTGGAATGGGATCTGAAATAGTGCTTGAGTGCCAAAGACAGAAGTTACATGGCTGCACGTATGCCTTCACCTCCTCTGGGATGGGCTTTTCACTGTGTCCATAGGGATCAGGACTAGGAGCAATGGTCTCAAGCTAAAGTGGGACAGATTTAGGATGGAGATTAGGAGGAATTTCCTGACTATGAGGGTGGTCAAACATTGGAACAGGCTGCCTAGAGAAGTAGTGGAATCTCCATCCTGGGAAAATTTCAAAAATAGGTTAGACAAACACTTAGTTTGGATGGTTTAGTCAGGGATAATCCTGCCTTGAGCAGGGGCTGGACTAGATGACCTTGTAGGTCCCTTCCAGCCCAACTTTTCTATGATCTTCATAGTAGCTACAGTCAGGAGGGACCTGAACAGATCATCTAGCCTGACCCCCGGCCACAGGCAGGAATGGATGTTGGGTTCACAAGACCCCAGACAGGTGATCATCCAA